AAGGTCCTTGTTTAAGAGAGCCAGAAGAGGGTTAAGAAGGGTTCCCTTTTTCGGGTCCCCCTCATCCTACCTAGGATAACCCTAAACCCTAAACCCTAAAAAGGTAAGCCTAAACCCTAAGCCCTAGGATAAGCCTAGCGTCCTTGGTGCCACGCAGGCCTTCGAAAGCGAACCACTTGCAGAGACGCTGGCAAAGACCAAAGTATCTTGACTTTGCTGACTTGAAAGGCTTTGCCTTTCTCATCTCTTGCAGGGCATACCTGAGCTGCTCCAGGTGTTCTCTAAACCCTAACCCCTAAACCCCAAACCCTAAACCCTAAACCCGAAACCCTAAACCCTAAACCCAACAAACCCTATGACTTGGCCAGCAGCGAGCGACACCGTGAGGCGTCAGCCCGCTGAGGGCCCGAGCGAGCAGGCCACGCATTCGTTGTTTTCTGAATCAGTTTTTTAGTAGTTTCTTGCGTGGGCCTGTGGTTGGGGGCCTTGTGGAGTCTTTTGGGGCCTCCTGCACTGAACTAACTTCGCATTTGGTGTTGTGGGTCATGGCAAAATGAGGCCCCTCCCCTTTTGGGGAATGGGTAGACCCTAAACCCGCCGAGATTGAGATGTGGGTGGTGGGTCCTGCGGGAGCGTTGCGCTTTCGCACACACCACGACACACGCCTGCGTCGTGGTGCCTGCAGAACGTTTAGCAAACCCTAAACCCTGAGCCCTGAACGCTAAAACCTAAACGCTGTTTTAATGGGGTTTGGGGACCGATCCTCGTCTGGAGACGGGGCATGCCTCGGAAAATTGTTGGGGGTGACGGTGGCATCGAGACTACTCCAAAGGGCGCGCGGAATCGTTTGCTCTGTAGCTCTGCCAGGGGGTTTCTAAGGCTTATACGGCTCAGGGCTTAGGGTTCAGGGCTTTGTTTGTAGGGTGTAGGGTTTGTAGGGAAATGGGCTTAGGGTTTGGGGTTTAGGGTTTATTTACGGCATAGGGTTTAGGGTTTTTGTTTGTAGGGTTTGTAGGGTTTTGGGCTTGGGGGCTCCGGGCAAGTGCGATCATATGATCCTCAGAACTACCCCCCAGGCAGAAGCAGCAACTGCGGCCATCTGGCCAAGCTTCCCGCTGGCAACAGCCTAAACCCTTGAGGTTCATAAGGTTTAGGACTTTAAAGGTTTGATCCTGAACCCTAAACCCTAAACCAACAAACGGAAACCTAAACCCTAAAACCCGAAACCCTAAGCCCGAAACTTGAAACCCCACAAGCCTGAAGCCCGCATAACCCTCCACTCCTACTAAGCATCCCAGAGCCCCGCAAGTATCCTGCAAGAACCTCAATATAGGCTCCGCCTGAATCCAGGATCAACAAAGCAACTCAGCAAAATGCCAAACGGCAGGGTTAGGGTTCAGGGTTGACGGTTAAGTCGGTGTAGAGGGTTTAGAGGGTTTAGAGGGTGCAGAGGGTTTGGAGGGTTTATATAGACGGGTTTAGAGGGTTTAGACGAATTATAGGGTTTCGGGTTTATAGGGTTGAGGGTTCAGGATTTAGGCTGAGGTGTCTAAGGGTTTACAGTTTCGGTGTAGAGCTTGCCTAAACCCTAAACCCTAAACCCTAAACCCTGAACCCTGAACCCTAAACCCTAAACCCTAATTAAACCCTAAACCCTAAACCCGAAAACCTTGCCTCAAACGGGAGAGCCTTTGGACATTTTTTTACACATCGTCACCACGGTGATGAGCCCTGGGACTCCGGATCCACAGGCATGGTAAGTTGAGGGTTTAGGGTTTAGGGTTTAGGGTTTAGGGTTAAGGGTTTAGGGTTGAGGGTTTGCTGTGATAGGGCGTAGATGCTGTGAAGGTGGCTTCGCCAGGTGCGAAGAGCAGCTTTGGCCCGATTGCGGAGGGCCATCTAACACCTTTCTCCTACCCCACGCCGTCCAAGGCAGCAAAGCCACCCAAACCTATTCCTTTCAGGGTTTAGGCCTAAACTCAGACAACAATTCACTTCTAAAAACGAATTCAGTTTCATGACGTTCGTTGGATCCGAGAGTCAAGATGCCAGCAAGGTCTGGGGTTTCCTGGCCTGGGTACCCCCCCAAAGAGGCCAGCCACTTCCAAAATTTTTGGGTATTTGGGTATTTGCCGAGGAGAACGTGTTGCGGTAACGGGTCCATCGTGGGCGCTACCGACCCCCATGCTGTGGGAGGCGGGCGAGCGACCTGGGTCGGCTTGCGCCATCGAAGTCGAAGGGCTTAAGCGCCGCCCCCCAACGTAGGGGGGCGGCCTAGGCCCTGAGTTCAGGGTTCAGGGTTCAGGGTTTGGGTTTAGGGTCATTTTCCTCTTGGGGATGTCAGAGAGGACTCCACTGTTCCTCACTGCCTTTCGGGCCCATCACTCCCAGGAACGGCAGTCTTTGCTTGGAGGTTCACGGTACTTAAAAACCCAATTAGGGTTTAGGTTTAGGGTTTAGGGTTTAGGGTTTAGGATTTAGGGTTGAGGGTTGAGGGTTGAGGGTCGAGGGTTGAGGGTTGAGGGTTGAGGGTTGAGGGTTGAGGGTTGAGGGTTGAGGGTTGAGGGTTGAGGGTTTAGGGATAAACCAATTCTAACTGTACTTGTAACCGAAACATACCCATCTTAGGGCACTTTAGGGGCTTATAAGCGGGTTATCAGTACAGTTATTATTGGGTTATTAGGTACCATGAACCTCCAAGTGCTCCCAGGCGCGCGAAAATAAGGCATTACATGCCACGAGGGCTTTGGTGGCCCCTATGCGTGTCCTCAAAGCGTTTCATTCTAGTTATTTTGCTTTTTTTTTATTTTTGGGGGTGGGGGGGGGGGGGGTGTTGATTGCAGTATAAAAGTATCTAGGGGCCATAAGGGAAGATCCGTCGTCATTCTTCCAACCCCCCCCCCTACAGTAGGCATCTGTTCTAAGGAGACGATAGGGCAGACCATGCAGGAGCCGCGGAAACGACAAGCGTGCCATGAGTTGCAAAGAAGGGCTGAATGCCTTTACTATAGGGGCCTTAATAATTCCAACAGGTCTTTGGGGGGGTTCTTATAGTATACTTATTTTGGGACCATAAGGGAATACTGTTTGAGTTGCGAAGAAGGGCTGACGGCCTTTACTGTACTAGGTTGCCCAGTAGCCTAGCATTGAAAACGGTGCCCTTTTTGGCTTAAAGGGGTTGTTGAAGGGAACCTCCCCCAAAAAAGGGAATAAGGGTACTACTGGGCATCCCAGTATAGGGGCCTCATAATTCGAGTATACTTGTTTAGGGACCATAAAGGAATACTGTTCATCATGCCGACCCCTATAGTAGGACTTGTAAGGATTGAAGGGTTTAGTGTAGGGCTTCTACACCGCTCCCGACACCTAGGGCTTAGAGCTTTAGGGCTTTAGGGCTTTAGTGCTTTAGTGCTTTAGGGCTTTAGGGCTTTAGGGCTTGAGGGCTTGAGGGCTTTAGGGCTTTAGGGCTTTAGGGCTTTAGGGCTTTAGGGCTTTAGGGCTTTAGGGCTTTAGGGCTTTAGGGGTTTAGGGCTTTAGGGCTTTAAGGCTTTGGGGCTTGGGGCTTGGGGCTTGGGGCTTAGGGCTTGGGGCTTAGGGCTTAGGGCTTAGGGCTTATGCTTTCCCGCTGATTTCAGGTTTCCAGGTCTGGGGTTTAGGGTAGGGCTTGGGTTTTTTGGCTTCCTGAAGTTCTAGGCGTTATATAGGGACTACGTAAGGTATGTACATATACAGGGGGTATATAGGGGAATAAGAGTAACTCCTTGCCCCTTGATTATAGGGCTAAGGGCTTCGGAAGCCGCAAGAGCCCAGCCCTTAAACGAAGGAACGCTACAGTCACTACCCTGACAACATTCTCTACAAAAGGTACATGGGCCCTTTTCACAAAAGGGATGAGGGTTTAGGGTCTCTAAACCCTAAACCCTAAACCCTAAACCCTAAACCCTAAACCCTAAACCCTGCGCTTAGGACTGTGGGGGTGTGGCTTTCGGGCTCAGGGGCTCATGGCTCCGCCTGTGACTAACCATGAATTAAAATCACAGAGAAAAAAAAGAGTGGTTCTTTCGGTGTGGTGGCCTTTTCCGCCTGCAGTCCGCTCGAACTGTCCTGCCTTTGGGTGTAGGGCTGTGGGTTAAGGTTTAGGGTTTAGGGCTTGGAGGTCTCAGCCTGGGGGGGGGGGCTGGTTGGGCAGCAGTCACACCCGAAGAAATGAAAATGCCACTGTGGAAAATCGACCTGGCATTCGTCTTTATGAGCAAAGGCTCGGCAACACATCGCTGGCACCGTGGCACTGGCGTAGATATAGTGACCTTTGATAGTTTTGACGGGGTTTTGAGGGTTAGCATGGCATACTTATATAGGGCCAGAAGGGAATACCATGAGTATTTATTCCGACCCCTGTATTATAGCCTTCACCCGTAGCAAAGGCTTTTTCGTTCCAACGACCACGGTTTACTGGTCTGTCTTGCTTTGGAGGGTTGCCTAAACCTTATGAACCCTGAACGGCGCCAGCCTTGGCAATTGTATTCAACAATACAAACTCCGTGAATCTGTACGGCTTGTCTATGCAGTTTTCTGAAGTCGGACCTCAAGATACGAGCCTGAGGCTACCCCTATACTTGTTGTCTCATGTATATGTGCCGAAGGTCTTGACGAAGCTCCGCGAACTCTCAAAGTTCCACGGTTTTCGGTTTAGGGTTTAGGGTATAGGAACCCAGCCTCAAAATTAGGGTTTCGGCGTTTTCCAACTGAAGGCCTATCTAAGCCTTGGGCCCGGAAGCCTTTAAAATCGCCCAAAACCCTGAACCCTGAACCCTGAACCCTAAACCCTAAACCCTAAACCCTAAACCCTAAACCCTAAACCCTAAACCCTAAACCCTAAACCCTAACCCCTAAACCCTAAACCCTAAACCCTAAACCCTAACTTAGATTCTCGCCCGCGACGCCTCCAACTGTCGGTGTATTTCGATGGCGTCGCCGCGTCGGGAGAGCGGGCGAAGCACTCAGGAGACCGGCCGCGCGACGGCTTCCAACCTCTGCTGCGGGGGCGTACAGCAATTTAGGGTTAAGGGTTGAGGGTTTAGGGTTTAGGGTTTATGGTTTAGGGTTTTGGGTTTTGGGACTTAAGGTTTAGGGTTCAGGGAGGACTACCAAAGAACCTGGACCTCAAACAGAGGGGGGGGGGCCGGTGGAAGAGTTTCTTGACCAAAGGGTCCATGTACCTCTATGCTTTCTACAGGGATCTTGTATGGTAGCCTTAGGGCCCTAGTGTGTATACGGGTATTTCCTAGGGGTACCCCAATGATACCACAGAGTAGAATAGCAGCCCCTTAAAACGACGCGCACAAAGCGTACACCTATTTTCGGAAACCCGAAACCCGAAACCCGAAACCCGAAACCCGAAACCCGAAACCCGAAACCCGAAACCCTAAACCCTAAACCCTAAACCCTAAACCCTAAACCTAAACCCTAAACCCTAAACCCTAAACCCTAAACCCTAAACCCTAAACCCTAAACCCTAAACCCTAAACCCTAAACCCTAAACCCTAAACCCTAAACCCTAAACCCTAAACCCTAAACCCAAACCCTAAACCCTAGCCTATACTGTATGGGTACATGGACCCTTAGGGTTGGCTTCAGATTTTAGAGGGCTTTGGGTGTTTCACCTGAAGAGGCCCCAGGCAACCGAAACCCTAGAGCCCCGGAAGTCCTACACTACTGAGGGTTTAGGGTTTAGGGTTTAGGGTTTAGGGTTTAGGGTTTAGGATTTAGGGTTGAGGGTTTAGGGTTTAGGGTTTAGGGTTTGGGGTTTGGGGTTTGGGGTTTAGCAGGATTCCAGGTGTTGAGCTGAAAATGTCAGGTACTGGCAGAGGTTTTCGGGACTAGTTGTCTGGTAACTCTACCAGCCTACCTAAGACAGCTTTGTAGAAAGTATCCTTATTACTTCGCAGGTACAAGCGCAAGCCACACAAAAACCTGCATCGTCTCAGGTTATACTCCCCTTAGAACCAGACATGAACATAGCATGTTCTCTATGCCTTGGAATTTAAATGAAAATAAACAATGCACAATCCTTAGTAGGGTTCAGGGTTTAGGGTTTCTGGCTTAACGAAACTCTAAGCTCTAAACCCCAAACCCTAAACCCTAAACCCTATAGTTTAGAGGACAGAGGGCTGCACGAGAGAAACACGCTCCCAACATGCTACAAGATAACATCATCGCCTTTTGGGAACCTTCCCTCCTTCCCAAAAACCCCTAAACCCTAATCCTTGAAACCTTAACCCGAAACTTCCGACCTCAAACCCTACACCATAGAGCCTCACCGAATCTCTCAAGAACTCACGCCCGCGCGCCGAAACCCTGAACTTTTGCTCGTCATAAGGCGCCAGGGATGCATGGGGGGGTGCGGAGGTTAGGAGCTAAGGGTAGAAACTCAGTGCAAGGGTTCCAGGTGCGGGGCTATCCTTACACCCTAAACCCTAAACCCTAAACCCTAAACCCTAAACCCTAAACCCTAAACCCTAAACCCTAAACCCTAACTCTAAACCCTAAACCCTAAACCCGAGCGGTGTTGCGTTTTGGGGCCCTAGGGCTTAGGGCGTTAGGGCTCTCCGTGCCCAGCAGCTCCTCCTTCAAGATTTCTTCCCTATCCAGCCTGGCATGTCACCAAGTCAAGAGTTTAGGGTTTAGGCTTTAGGGTTTAGGGTTTAGGGTTTAGGGTGTAGGGTGTAGGGTGTAGGGTTTAGGGCTTGCTATGATAGGGCGTAGATGCTGTGAAGGTTAGGCTTTGAAACAGCTCGAAAGCTTCGTGAGGCGCGAAGAGCAGCTTTGGCCCGACTGTGGAAGGCCATCTAACACTTTTCTCCCACCCCACGCCGTCCGAGGCGGCAAAGCCACCCAAACCTATTCCTTTTAGGGTTTAGGCCTAAACTCAAGGCAACAGTCCACTTCTAAAAGCTTCTTCCGTTTTGGGAAAGGTTTGAAGGGGTTCAAGGGTCTCAGGAGGGTAAAACCGTCCCGAAACTGGGTCGAGAGATTCGCGACCGATGTGCGAGCTGTGGGGGGCGGGCGAACGACCTGGGTCGGCTTGCGCCATCGAGGTCGAGGGGCTTAGGCGCCGACCCCCAACGTAGGGGGGGCGGCCTAGGCCTGGAGTTTAGGGTTTAGGGTTCAGGGTTCAGGGTTCAGGGTTTAGGGTTTGGGGTTTAGGGTTCAGGGTTCAGGGTTCAGGGTTCAGGGTTTAGGGTTTAGGGTTTAGGGTTTAGGGTCTAGGGTTTAGGGTTTAGGGTTTAGGGTTTAGGGTACTAGGGTTTCGGGAAAGTCCTTCGGCCTCTGAGGAGTTTAGGGTACATGCCTTAGGGTTTTGGGGCTAGGGCCTTGGCAGCCCTTAAAAAAACCCTAAGCCCTAAACCCTAAACCCTGAACCCTAAAGACTTGTTTCTTTTTTTTCGGTTCGGGGGGGGGGGGGGGGGTGGCGCATGAATTATGCAAACGAACCCAGCGCCCAACATGCAAAAAAATGAGGACGAACTAAGCCGTCCCTGTGCTCCCTCTGTCTGTCGAGGGGTTCTACCTTGGGGCCTTAAGGCTGTCCCCTCGGGTTTGGGGGACCCTTCTTTAGGATCCCTAAGGGAACAGAAGGGCCATATAGGGTTTAGGGTTTAGGGTTTTGGGTTTTGGGTTTTGGGGTTTAGGGTTTAGGCGAGTCTTCATCCCTTGAGTCTGCGGGAGCAGGGGGGGGGAGGGGGGGAGGCCTCCTTTTCTTATCTCCAATACTACCCCCAACCCTTAACCCTAAACCCTAAACCCTAAACCCTAAACCCTAAACCCTAAACCCTAAACCCTAAACCCTAGCAGGCATCCTACCCTAAGGCTCCGTGAGCCCAAAAAATGCAAAGTAAGTCCTCAGGTTGTTGGGGGGAATTTCTGGGGGCTTAGTTTGGGGTTTAAAGTTTAGGGTTTAGGGTTGAGGGTCTCGGGTCTAGGGTTTAGGGTTTAAATTTGGGTAGACCCCGCCCCTACTAAATAACCTCCAAATACCCTTCCTAAATACCCCAATTAACCTTCAATCCCCCAGACCTCTTGGATGCTCGAATCATAAATACCCTCAAAAACCAAAAAAATCCAAATGTACCGAAACCCTTCTAGCTACCCTAGGTGCGCTAAAACCCTTACATGCCCCAACAACCCCAAGTCCCCTACACCTTAAACCCTAAATACCCTAAACCTTAAACTCTAACCCGAACCCTGAACCCCTAAACTTGAAACCCGAAACCCCAACCCATAAACTAAACCGCCAAAACCCTGGAAACTCCCACCAATCTGGGTCTTGGACGAGGCTTTGAGGTCCTTCATCAGCGCAACTTCCTCGGCCACCGTGGTAGGGTTTTCGGGGTTCGGGGGCTTAGGCTTTAAGGGTTTAGGGCTTGGGGTTTTTGGGAGGTTTCCGGTGTAGGGATCTCTATCCAGAACTTAACGAGGATAGATGCCTTAAAACCACAAGAGGCAAACCTTGACAGGGGGGTTAGAGTTTAGGGGCGAGGGTTCGGGTTCAGGGTTCAGGGTTTAGGGGTTGAGGGTTCAGGGTTCAGGGTTCAGGGTTCAGGGTTGAGGGTTTAGGGTTTAGGGTTTAGGGTTTAGGGTTTAGGGTTTAGGGTTTAGGGCTTAGGGTTTAGGGTTTAAGATTCAGGGTTTAGGGTTTGGTTTAGGGCTTAGGGAGATCTCGGCCAGGGGAACGAGGAGGCCGCACCTTAGGGCGACGTCACCGAGCGGAACCCTGGGTGCGCTGCCGCAAACTGTATCAGCGTATCTTGGCTGCACTCAAGCCACGGTTTAGGGTTTAGGGTTTAGGGTTTAGGGTTTAGGGTTTAGGGTTTAGGGTTTAGGGTTTAGGGTTTAGGGTTTAGGGTTTAGGGTTTAGGTTATTAAGAAATCCAATAAACCCAAAAGGGCTAAGGATCTAAAGTTACAGTAGAGCACCACAAAGGTATCTCTCTACACTTCATGTACGTGCACATTCATCGTCTCGAAAGGTTTGCATGCGAAGAAGTTCACAGACACTGCCAGGATCGAGCGACCTTCGCGAAAGACTGCACTCTCAAGCGCGGCACATACTGAGCGAAAGGTCTCAATCGGGTGACATGTGGAACCTCGTATCCACGATAAGCCTCTTTGCTCTAGTGCAGCAGCTGCCACGTACACTTGAAGTACACCGCTTCGTCCATCTCCGCAGACATTCACAACCAGGGCCCTAAACCCTAAACCCTAAACCCCAAACCCTAAACCCTAAACCTAAACCCTAAACCGACTTGCCAACAGGGGAAATCAGAAATTGCTCTGGCACCCGAAACCCTACATTAGGGCTTAGGGTTTAACAATTAGAGTTTAGGATTTCAGTTTCAGGGTTCAGGGTTCAGGGTTCAGGGTTTAGGGTTCAGGGTTCAGGGTTTAGGGTTTAGGGTTTAGGGTTTAGGGTTTAAGGTTTAAGGTTTCGGGTTTAGGGTTTAGGGTTTAGGGGTACTCTAGAAAAGAGCGACACTCGAACTCACCGAGACGGAAGGAGATCTGTGCTTCGGTCTTAAAGCGGCACCCTAAGCCCTAAACCCTAAACCCTAAACCCTAAACCCTAAACCCTAACCCCTAAGCCCTAGACCCTAAACCCTAAACCTTAAACCCTGAACCCTAAACCCTAAACCCTAAACCCTAAACCCTAAACCCTAAACCCTAAGGTTACCCTAAACAATCAAGGGAACAACAGAAGGCTCCCAAGACTCCTTCAGCCTCGCCCAAACCTTGAAGGGTTGAGTGATTCGGGCTCAGGGGTTTAAAGGCTTCGGGCTTAAAGCCCTCAAGGGCTTAGAGAGTTTAGGGTTTAGGGTTTAGGGTTTAGGGTTTAGGGTTTAGGGTTTAGGGTTTAGGGTTTAGGGTTTAGGGTTTAGGGTTTAGGGTTTCAGGTTTGGGGTTTAGGGTTTAGGGTTTAGGGTTTAGGGTTTAGGGTTTCAGGGTTCAGGGTTTAGGGTTTAGGGTTTAGGGTTTAGGGTTTAGGGTTTGGGCTTGGGGTTTCGGGTTTAGGGTTAGGGTTTCGGGTTTAGGGTTTAGGGTGTAGGGTTTAGGGTTTAGGGTTTAGGGTTTCGGGTTTCGGGGCTAGGGCTTAGGGCTTAGGGCTTAGGGCTTAGGGCTTAGGGCTTAGGGCTTAGGGCTTAGGGCTTAGGGCTTAGGGCTTAGGGCTTAGGGCTTAGGGCTTAGGGCTTAGGGCTTAGGGCTTAGGGCTTAGGGCTTAGGGCTTAGGGCTAGGGCTTAGGGCTTAGGGCTTAGGGCTTAGGGCTTAGGGCTTAGGGCTTAGGGCGTAGGGCTTAGGGCGTAGGGCTTAGGGCTTAGGGCTTAGGGCTTAGGGCTTAGGGCTTAGGGCTTAGGGCTTAGGGCTTAGGGCTTCGGGCTTCGGGCTTCGGGCTTCGGGCTTAGGGCTTAGGGACATTGGAGACCCTAGGCGACTACTCCCACAGCCGAAGGCACGTGCTTGCGGGATTTCGTGAGATCTGCGGCCACCTGGGCGGCACTTGGGTTCAGGGCTTAGGGGGTTTAGGGTCGAGGGTTTCGTGTTCAGTGTTCAGGATTTAGGGTTTTGAGTTTGGGATTTAGGGGCTTTAGGGTTTAGGGTTTAGGGGTTTAGAGTTGGGGTTCAGGGTGCCAGACATGGCTACGGAAGCTATCTTTGGGTTTGGGGGCCTAGGGTTTAGGGCTCAGGGTTTAGGGTTTAGGGTTTAGGGGTTCGGGGTTAGGGGTTAGGGGTTAGGGTTAAGGGGGCTTCGACACCAGTGCGTACTTTCAAGGTTCGTGCAACGTGCTGGCTAGTCGTCGCTGGGGCAGGTAATGGGCGGTCCGCACAAAACATAAACGCGCGCAGTCCCCCAACCCCAGGCTAAACCCCGAGCCCGAAGTGCTAAACCCTAAACCCTACATCCTAAACCCTAAACCCTGGGTCCACCCCCAACGTTTGCCCACACTTTTCTATCTCCAGGTACCCTTTCTTGATCGAGCTCTTCCACTTCGACTTGCATAAATATTCCTAAAATTTCATCACAGCATTGTTTAAGATTGTCCTGAGGGTTGATGAGACTTTATCAGGCGTTCACTTTCGGTTGAGGGTGCCTTGGTCTCGGGGTTTTGCTTCTACTTCGGGCCATGGCTCGTTCTCGCTCTCCAGCCACTGGGTGCCAAGACATTTTTTGTCCCCACTCACGGCAGAAGAAATTCGACACTGTCGATGCCTCGAAGGGCAGGGGGAATGCTGCAGTGGAGGTGGGGCCTTTGTAGAGGAGGCTTCCTCGTCTTCGTCTGTGGATGACATCGAGGAGTACAACCCGTCCGTGCTCGATGTTGACAGTTCTAGTTCGCAGTCGGTGGTGCAGCCGGGCATCCCGCCTTACATCCTTGAGCGGCTGAAGGACGAGAGAGGCGGCGACCTGCGAGAGTCAAGTAGCGGCTCTGAAGCGCATGCTGCGCAGACGTAACATGCTGGGACGCAGCAGCTCGTAAAGAGTCGCTGCAACGTTGACGGGCTGTGCGCCCTTTTCTTGCAACATGGAGGATCAGAATTGCTACCGCGACGCGGTCTCACCCAAGGATCTGTGGAATCAGGTTTCCTTCCTGGACGCAGACGCCTCCTGAAAACCAGAAAACAGGGTCCACCGTGTTTGTCGCCCCTGCCAGTGTTTTCAGCATTTACTGACACGGAACTTCTCCGTTGCGCGACGCAAATTCACTTTCAGCCCGAACCTGAAAATCATGCACCCTGCCATGCTTCTAGACATTGCGCCCAGGTTGTTGCGGGGCAAACGTTGGGGATGCACCCAAAACCCAAAACCCAAAACCCAAAACCCAAAACCCAAAACCCTAAACCCTAAACCCTGAACCCTGAACCCTAAACCCTGAACCCTACGCTGGCCTAAACCCTGAACCCTGACCCTCCCAGAATCCGAAAGCCCTCTGGAGCGGTTCCGGGACAAGCTCCCAACCAAGACGCGCATCGCACCACAGCAGAGACGCCAACTAGGGTTTAGGGTGTAGGGTTTAGGGTTTAGGGTTGAAGGTTGAGAGTTGAAGGATGAGGGTTGAAGGATGAGGGTTTAGGGTTTGGGGTTTAGGGTTTAGAGTTTAGGGTTTAGGCTTCAGACTCAGAGGAAGGGGGGGGGGAGGGGTGCACGCTCGGGGCCCGCACCGTAGTTGCCTTCCGCAGGGTCTCGTCCAGCCGCTCAGCAAGCTGCTCCTTTCTTTTCAGCCCTACTAAAAGGGTTTAGGGTTTAGGGTTTAGGGCTACTTGGAGGTTCATGGTACCTAGTAACTAATTATAACTGTACTTAGAACCCACTTATAAGCCCCTTAAAGTGCCCGAATATGGCTATAAGTACAGGTATAAGAACCTCCAAGTAGGCCCCAGCACCCTACGCAATCCAGAGTGATGCTGCTATTTAATCATTTGGCAATAACTGTTCTGTTCATTCATGAGAACAGCTTAAACATCTCTTCAGCCCTAAGCCCGAGCACCCCAACCAATTCAGGTTTCGGGTTTAAGGTTTGGGGTTGTAAGCCCTGAAACCCTAAACCTGAACCCTAAACTCCTCACGCCCTGAAGCGTTAAGCCCGAACCCCTAAACTCCTGAAGCCCTGAAGCGTTGAACTACGGTATCGCTAATCCCTAAACCCTAAGGCGCCTAAGTCTGCAGTTAGGGTCAAGGGCTTTGGGTTTAAGGGTTTAAGGTTTAAGGGAAAAAGGAGTAGAGTTTGCGGATCTACCGGTGTATGGGCATGAGGTTTAGGGGTTTAAGGGTTGGGGCTTATGGGATGCGGGTTTAGGGAAGAGGGCTTAGGGTTTAGGGAAGAACAATCGGGATCCAAGAATTCGAATTCTATTCCTAAACCCTAAACCCTAAACCCTAAACCCTAAACCCTAAACCCTAAACCCTAAACCCTAAACCCTCAACCTCAAGGGTATACTTCCTTCACAAAACGGGTATTGGGCTCAGGGATTATAGGGCTTAGGGTTTCAGGGCCTGGGGCTTGGAGTCGTGTTACGGTTTGGGGGTTTGGAGTTTAGGGCTTCGTGGACTTTTGGATTCACAGTGGCTGCCTCAAACTCGGCACCCGCAAAAAACAAGTACTTCCAACGTGCTGCTTCCTGAAGACCCGCCCCAAAAACAATGCTTCCTGATAAGGGCAATATGGGGATTGTTATTCTTCATTTTTGGGGCTCTGAAGCGAACGGAAGCAACTCGACTTATATCACATTGGGGGATATTGCTTTCTTGCGGGGATTTAGTTCAGGCGAGGGGATTGCTCTCCCAACTATGAATGTAAGAGGTGGTCAAGCTATGGCCTGCTACATGAATTGAGTGTTAGAAGGAATGCGAAGGAAAGTTGGCCTGCTCAGCTTTTTTAAGGTTTCGGACGGCGGTTTTAGGGTTTAGGCTTCAGGGCTTAGGGTTTAGAGTTTCGGGTTTCGGGCTTAGGGCTAATCGTCGGAAATGAACAGTGGGCTTGCCCACCTGCGCCGAGAGCGCGTCCGCCAACCGCTGAGCCTGCTCCTGTGGCGTCATGGTGTGGGCGTTAACAATCCTCAGGGTTCATACCTTCATCTGAAGAAGACCTCAAGTTTCACATCAGCTTCGTATTCCTTGCCACTGACACCGGAGGTTTGGGGTTTATGCTTAGGCTTCAGGGTTCAGGGCTTGAGGGGATCGGTCCTTCATGGGTTTCCCTACTACTCTTTACTACCCCCTCTAGGTTCCCCCCATAATTAAGGCTCTTTAAGGATAATTTAGCCCATTTAAGGTTATTTCAGGGGCTAACCTAGGGGGGGGTAGTATCCCTACACCCTAAACTAAACCCTCAACCCTCAACCTAAACCCAGTAAGCAGGGGGTAGTAGTAGGGGAACCTTTGAGTCCTCATGCACAGATCCTTCAATTGCTCCCGGCTCAGGATCAATCAGATACAAAGCCCAGGAGCAGAACTCACCCCTCCCCCGCCCAAAGGATTTAAGGTTTGGGGTTTAGGGTTTACGTTTTAGGGTAAGCCTAACCCCAAACCTACGGGGTTTGGGGTTTGGGATAAAATGGGGTTAGTTTTTTGTTTTTCGGTTCTTTTCGCGGGTTTAGGGGCTTAGAGGTTTCGGAGTTGATGGCTCTGGGTCGCCGAAGCCCTCAACCCTAAATCCCAAAACTCTACCAAACCCCCCAGCCCCTAAACCCTACAACCCTCCAAGAACGAAAGGCCCTACACCATGGAACCCTGAGTTGAATCTGAGGCCTCAAGCCCAAAATCCCGAGCCCAAACCCCCCAAAAATCACCAAAAAAGCCTACAAACCCTACAAACCCTCAACCCTCAACCCCAAAACCCTCCACCCCAAAGGCTAAAACCCAGCACCCTAAACCCTGAAACCCTAAAACCCTAACACCCTAAACACCCGAAACATCCGAAGATCCTAAAATCCTAAACGCCCCAAACCCTAAACCCTAAACCCTAAACCCTAAACCCTAAACCCTACACCCTAAACCCTAAACCCCATTAACCCTAGACCAGCGACCTCCAGCTCCGACTGGAGTTGGTTCTCGCGGTTCCGTGACTCGGCCAGGTCCAGCTGAACGGCCTTTATGTAGGGTTTAGGGTTTAGGGTAGGGTTTAGGGTTTAGGGTTTAGGGTTTAGGGTTTAGGGTTTAGGGTTTAGGGTTTAGGGTTTAGGGTTTAGGGTTTAGGGTTTAGGGTTTAGGGTTTAGGGCCTCATGGATACACTTGAAATACTTAGGGCCCATACTTCGGATCCCTGTAAACAAGGGTAACGGGCCGTACTCAAGGCCCATGGTTCCAACCCCAAATTTTAGTGTAATGTTGGGGTTTGGGCTTTGGGGCTTCGGGGCTTTGGGGTTTAGGGTTTGGGGTTTAGGGTTTGGGGTTTAGGGTTTGGGGTTTAGGGTTTGGGGCTTAGGGTTTAGGATTTGGGGTTTTTGGGGTTTAGGGTTTGGGGCTTAGGGTTTGGGGTTTGGGGCTTGGGGTTTAGGGTTTAGGGTTTAGGGGGAAGCGGACGGTTAGAGGTGTCCAAGAAAGGGCGGATTTTGGCTTCGCGCCTAACCCTCAACCCCTGAACCAGGCTACAGAGCTCCAAGGCTCAAGCACAGGCAGCCTTGGCCGTTTTTGGTGGCTTTAGGGGTCACATGCGACCTTGGCTAGAACACACATACATTACCCGAACACGAAACACGAAAACCCTAAACCTGACTAAACTTTGATGAAACCCCTCGACCCTCAACTCTAAACCCTAAACCCCAGAGAAACCCTAGAGCCTAAACCCCTAAACCTCCAAACCCGGACACACCATCAACGGCCTGTTGAAGGGATGGCCGGTGTCCTACGTAAACCATAAACCCTAAACCCTAAACTCTAAACCCTAAACCCTAAACCCTAAACCCTAAACTCCCGACGCCTCTTCCCGTTGCAAAGCCGCAGACAGCTGTCCCTGGTCAAGTTGAGCTTGGGGCTTAGGGGTTTATAGGGCTTCTGGGGTGTAGGGTTTAGGGTTTAGGGTTTAGGGTTTAGGGTTTAGGGTTTAGGGTTTAGGGTTTAGGGTTTAGGGTTTAGGGTTTAGGGTTTAGGGTGTTAGATATGTGTATATGTCTATACGGTCACAGGGTATAAGTAGGTGCTGAGTCTTTTTTCTCGGGCCTGTAGTTTAGGATCTAGTGTTCAAGGCCTATCGGAAGCTCAGACCCTACATTGCAGACCCTCAGTCCAACAGTGAGCCCTAAACCCTCGACCTAAACCCTCGACCCTAAACCCTAAACCCTAAACCCTACACCCTCCACAAAAACCGGAAGGAAAAGAGGGTCAGGGGGGTGATCCAGCAAGCCCTCGACCCTAAACTCTCAAACCCTAAACCCTAAACCCGAAACCCTAAACCCTAAACCCTAAACGCTAAGCCAAAGGAGGAATCTGCTCCTGACCTCGCGTTCCGCCGACAAAGTCCCGGAACAGGAGGGTTCAGGTTTCAGGGTTCAGGGTTCAGGGTTCAGGGTTCAGGGTTTAGCGTTTAGGGTTTAGGGTTTAGGGTTTAGGGCTTAGGGCTTAGGGCTTAGGGTTTAGGGTTTAGGGTTTCGAGCTGGATGGCCAGCAAGAACTCTAGCAGACATTCCCGGACCCTACTGCATCATTGGGTCTTCCATGGCCATGCCCTTCGCCCAGCCCAAGCTCGAAACCCTGAACCCTGAACCCTAAACCCTAAACCCTAAGGGGTGAGGCCTCCGGGTCCTACAACCTATGGTTTAGGGTTTAGGGTTTAGGGTTTAGGGTTTAGGGTTTAGGGCTTGGGGTTTGGGGTTTAGGCTTCGGGGTTTAGGGTTCAGGTTTCGGGTTTAGGGTTTAGGGACTAGGGTCTAGGGTTTAGGGTGTGAAAGTCGGAAACCCCAAACCATCAAGCGAGAGCTTGTGAAGGAGGGAGGCGGCCTGCAGTTCGGCCTCTCTGGCGCGTGACCTGACCATTTTGAGTTTAGTGGGTTTAGGGTTTAGAGGGCTTAGGGTTTAGGGGTTCAGGGGTTGAGGGTTTAGGGGGTTGAGTTATAGAGTTTTGGGCTTTGGGCTTGTGTCTACTGCGCTTTAGTCACCCTAAACCCTAAACCCTAAACCCTAAACCCTAAACCCTAAACCCTAAACCCTAAACCCGAATCCCTAAACCCAGGGTGGGCTTAGGCTGTAGGATGGGCGGGTGGGCGCTTAGGCTTCACTGCTTGATGGATTCTGGGACTTGAAGTTTAGGGTTTAGGGTTTAGGGTTGAGGGTTTAGGGTTTAGGGTTTAGGGTTTAGGGTTTAGGGTTTAGGGTTTAGGGTTTAGGGTTTGGGGTTTGGGGTTTGGGGCTTAGGGTTTAGGGCTTAGGGTTTAGGGGTTCAGGTTGGGTTCTTCAATTGCGCCTAACCATTAAGGGTGTTGGTGTAGCAAGCGTCTGGTCCGAAACCCCAAATCGTAAACCCTAAACCCTAGACCCCAAACCCCCAAACCCCAAACCCTAGACCCTAAAGACCAAAACCCTAACCCCCCTGACACCCCTGGCTACTGGGCTGCCGAACTCCGTCAGGGCGCAGACGAGCTCCGCCATCCTAAGGATCCAGCAGGGCTTGGGGTTTGGGGTTTATTTGGGGTTTAGGGTTTAGGGTTTAGGGTTAAGGGTTTGGGGGTTTAGGGTTTGGGGTTTGGTTCCGGGAGGGGGGGGGGGGGGGGGGGAGGACGATATTTTGGGTTGTTTTGGAGGTCATTTAGGGTAACTGAGTTCCGGGCTTTGGGAGTTATGTTGGGTTCTTTCAGAGTGTTTAGGGTTTAGGGTTTAGGGTTTAGGGTTTAGGGTTTAGGGTTTAGGGTTTAGGGTTTAGGGTTTAGGGTTTAGGGTTTAGGGTTTAGGGTTTAGGGTTTAGGGTTTAGGGTTTAGGGTTAGGGGAACTTTGGTTCAGAGCGTTGGGGGTTGAACTTGGGATATTTCAGAGCATTCAGGGGTTTCGTTTATATACAAGGCTGTGACGGTTTTTCTGCATTAAGGTTTAGCTTTCAGATCCCAGGGTGAGGAGCCTCAAAAGCCATCATGGGGTTTAGGGTTTAGGGTTTAGGGTTTAGGGTTTAGGGTTTAGGGTTTAGGGTTTAGGGTTTAGGGTTTAGGGTTTAGGGTTTAGGGTTTAGGGTTTAGGGTCCATCAGATTCCGAAGCCCACTCATAAAATTTGGAGCCCTATAGGCCCGCAAAAAAACAAACCTGTAGACGAGGGTCTGCTCCGTGGAATTGTCCAGTGCCGCCTGGAGTTGCGCCTTCGCCGCCGGTTTACGGTTTCGGGGTTAGGGTTTCGGGTTTTGGGGTTAGGGTTTAGGGTTGAGGGTTCAGAGTTGAGGGTTCAGGGTTTAGGGTTGAGGGTTCAGGGTTTAGGGTTTGGGGTTTAGGGTTTTAGGGCTTGGAGAGTGGAGAGAACCCAGAGCTTCTTGGTGGGGTACGGAATTGCGGTGAGCCCCGAGCCCTCAAACCCCTAAGATCTTGGGTAGAGCGAACTCATTTTAAAAAAACACAACAGCTCGAAATGCCAAAGCGGAAACCCTGAGCCCACACACCCTCTAAGTCCACATATTTGGGGCAACTTCCCGTAAGAGTTCAGGTTTAGGGTTTCGGGTTTAGGGTTTAGGGTTTAGGGTTTAGGGTTTAGGGTTTAGGGTTTAGGGTTTAGGGTTTAGGGTTTAGGGTTTAGGGTTTAGGGTTTAGGGCTCAGGGTTTGGGGTTTTGAGTTCTGGGTTCAGGGTCTTGGGCTTAAGGTGTGGGTCTGGTCCAAGCTTCAGGCGGTGAGGGCTTTAGGCGTTTCGGAGTTGCAGGGCTTTCAGCGCTTACGAGGGCCACCGTGTGCATCAAGACAAGAGGATGCTGCAGTCTCTAAGTATCCTGTCACACGCGGGTTTAGGGTTTAGGGTTTAGGGTTTAGGGTTTAGGGTTTAGGGTTTAGGGTTTAGGGTTGAGGGTTTAGGGTTTAGGGTTTAGGGTTTAGGGTTTAGGGTTTAGGGTTTAGGGTTTAGGGTTTAGGGTTTAGGGCTCAGGGTTTAGACTAGGCAGCAGCAAGCGCGTGGATCGCAGCAACCACCGCTAACTATACCTCTTCCGAGTCAGGGTCGAACACCTCGCATGCCAATGCTATGTGGCACTGAGCACGAGAATCCGAGCTGGTTTCGCCACAAGATGCTAGCCCCTAAAGACCTGCCAAAATTCTTAGAGTAGTTGCACGGTCCCTGAATAAATATGCTCCCTTAATTGGGGAAGCCTTCTATTCCCTACAACCCCCCAAACCCGAAACCCTAAACCCAATTAAGGGACCATGCAACCTCCCTCAAACAAAAATGAAACTCCCAAACTGCGAACTGCTTAATAACGCCCCCCCCCCCCCCAAAAAAAAAAAAAAAACATATTCTTCCTTGTAAGGGCAATATAGGGATCATTATTTTCCAATTTGGGGGGGGGTAAGATAGGGATTATAAATATATAAATATATAAATATATAAATATATATATATATATACAAATTTTTTTTGGGGGGGGGGTTCTTAAGCAAACAGGAGCAAACTGCGTCCCGCTTTCCTAAGGTTCGTGGCCTCCCGCTGCATCGAAGCTTGTAGCTCTTGGCCGTAGTTCTGGACAAAGCACGGTTGGGTTTAGGGTTTAGGGTTTAGGGTTTAGGGTTGAGGGTTGAGGGTTGAGGGTTGAGGGTTGAGGGTTGAGGGTTGAGGGTTGAGGGTTGAGGGTTGAGGGTTGAGGGTTGAGGGGTTTGGGGTTTGGGGTTTGGGGTTTAGGGTTTGGGGTTTGGGGTTTGGGGTTTAGGGGTTAGGGGTTAGGGGTTAGGGTTTAGGGTTTGGGGTTTAGGGTTTAGGGTCCAGGGTTTAGGGTTTAGGGTTTAGGGTTTAGGGGTGCCGGCCTCTAAGGTAGAACATGGCTCTTACAAGGGAATGAGGGAATTAGGTACCCTATAGATTTCCCTTGAAGGGTTTTGATACGGGGATACAAGGCAATTGCTAGTTGCTAGGATATTAGGGCTTTAGGGTTTAGGCTTTAGGGCTGAGAGCTTTAGGGTTGTGGTTGAGGAGTTTGGGAGTTTGGGGGTTGAACAGGGTTGTAGGGTATTAGAATTGAGGGCTGAGGTGGTTTGAGGGTTGAAGGGCTGTAGGGTTACATCCCGGAAACTTAGAGCCTAATTGGCAAATACTGTACCGCAGTAGCCCTAACCCCTAAACCCTAAACCCTAAACCCTAAACCCTAAACCCTAAACAAGTCTGGGATGGGCTTGAAGTGCGAGGCGACGAGGCAACCCCATCAACGCCACAGATCCCAAGCGCTGGATACACTCTCACCCCGGCCTAAACCCTAAACCCTAAACCCTAAGCCCTAAGCCCTAAACCCTAAACCTCATGCCATGCAGACTCACCCGTCCGACCTCGCCCTGCTTCG